GTCTAACCAGACCTCAAAATCAATGGCGCGACCCTCAGCGTCAAAAGCTAGGACACTAGGGGTAGCCATGGCGACGACAGCGACGCAGTGCAAGCAGCAGGGAAAGAGCTCGCAGTGTCAGTGGGACTGTGCTCACCAGGCAGGGCAGGTCGTGTAGGTATGCAGAAAGGCGGCTCGGGTGCTGGGCGGCTCGGCTGCTGGGCGGCTCGGGCGCAGGGCGGCTCGGCTCCCGGGCTGCTCGGCGGCTGGGCGGCTCGAGTGCAGGGCGGCTCGGCTCCCGGGCGGCTCGGCGACAGGGCGGCTCGGGTCCCGGGCGGCTCGGCGTCGGGCGGCTCGGCTCACGGGCGGTTCGGCTGCTGAGGCGGCTCGGCCAGGAGATGCAGGGGCGGGGCCGTCAGGTGCAGCGGCGGGTTGACCGGTGCAGTGGCGGGCCGGCAGGTGCAGCGGCGGGCCGGCAGGTGCAGTGGCGGGCCGGCAGGTGCAGCGGCGGGCCGGCAGGTGCAGGCGGCGGGCCGTAGGAGCAGCAGCGAGGCCGGCAGGTGCAGCGGCGAGGCCGTCAGAGGCGGCAGGCCGCTGGGTGCAGCGGCGGGCCGGCAGGTGCAGTGGCGGGCCGGCAGGTGCAGCGGCGGGCCGTAGGGTGCAGTGGCGGGCCGGCAGGTGCAGCGGCGGGCCGGCAGGTGGAGTGGCGGGCCGGCAGGAGAGGCGGCGGAGCCGCGTCAGGGGAGGCGGCAGGGCCGCGTAAGGGGAGGCGGCGGAGCCGCGTCAGGGGAGGCGGCGGTGCCGCGTCAGGGGAGGCGGGGGGAGCCGCGTCAGGGGAGGCGGCAGGGCCGCGTCAGGGGAGGCGGCGGGGGCCGCGTCAGACAGGCGGCGGGGCCGCGTCAGGAGAGGCGGCGGAGCCGTGTCAGGGGAGGCAGCGGGGCCGCGTCAGGGGAGGCGGCGGAGCCGCGTCAGGGTAGGCGGCGGGGCCGCGTCAAACAGGCGGCGGGGCCGCGATCAGGAGAGGTGGCGGGGCCGCGTCTGAGGGACAGCGGGGCCGCGAGGGAAAAGGCGACCCGAGGGGGGGGTCGCTAAAAAAAAGTGCGCGCCTCGGGGCGCGCTTTCGGTGGGCCCTAAAAAAACGGTCCTAAGGTAGGACCCGCTCTATACCATGTGAAGTAAAGAAAACAGGAATGAAATGACTAAGGAAAGATTGGGTACAAATACAACCCTAGAAACCCTGTACCCCATATGTGCTACCCCACTATAGCCTACAGCAACTATGTCATATAAATCTGACAGAAGGGGCTTTCCGAAGCTGTGGAGTTTTAAATGCGATAGACGCGGTGGGCAACGAAGCGACAGGTCCGAGTGTTTGATCCGATAAACATGACCCGGCTACGATTGCATTCGCACCTTCACCAAATGTCAGAAAAATCGCGGGCAACACGGAGATAAGCCTCATCCGACAAAAGCGGACGCTGGGTGAACAGCGGCAAGCAAAATTGTCGGGGGGTGAAGCCAAAAAAAAAAAAAAAAATGGAGGGAAATTTGTGGGTGCTCTAGCAGATCTCCAGAGTGAAAGGTTGAGCTCGTACACCAATCCACCGCGAATTTCGGAGTCTATTCGGTAGACCCCCGAAAGGGTTTGATATTGTTACATGGAGGCGCGGCGAGCGGTGTATCGCCAAGGATACCTGGGATTCGCTAAGTAATTTCGACGGGTACAAAGACGGGTGAACGTCAGAGTACCAGGGTCAACGACGGAAACGTCGGGGTTATGCGGCGGAAAATACTTCGGGACTGCTTCAACAACCATGATTTTCGGGGTTTTATTCCAACGGTGGGAGACGGTTGAACGTCTGCTCGCCAGCTGTTTCAGCGGTTTACGGTGTACTTCGAAGCCAGCTGGGGAACTTCTACGGCGAGATCTGCGGCGTCGATGCGGGCTAGGTTCCGTGAAATTCGGTCCCGGTAGACCCATGACTCCGGGTTCCGCACGAAAGAGCACCTACTGTTGGTGGGTTGCTAGTGTGGTTAACCATGGAGAGAAAAATGGCGACGGGTGGGCACGCTAGACACACCGGTTCTTTCGGGGGGCAACCTGCAGGCGACCAAGACTTTACGTGGTGTGGAAATTTCCGACATTTACGGGTGCAACGAGCAGTTCCGACAAGAGTTTTTTTCAACGGAGTCAGTGCGGTCGCTGACAGTATCCGTGCCGACGGCCGACTGCAGTGTTGCTTGATTAAGCGCGCGAAGGCACTCGTCGTCAAAGTGTGTAGCCGTTCAAATCGGAAGCTGCTCGGGGGTACCAGCCGCAACACGAGGGACAATTTTGCAACAGGTGGGGGGGAGAAGGAGACAGCTGTTTTCGCCCCTGCCCGGAGGTTTTCGGCGAGTCACGACAACACCGATAATGCAGCTGACGTCATCGGCAGTTCAAGTTCGAGTTTGAAAAAATATTGGCAAGGTCAGGGGGAAGAGCAGCAGCTGTTTTCGTCCCTGCCCGGGAGTTTTCGGAGCAACGCGACAAGGGCCTCGGCGAGCCTGGACAAGACGGCCGGGTGCACCGACAGCTGGAGAAGCTACAGCGAGGATTTTCGCCTGCAAACAAGACAAACGGCAGCAATTTCAGGATTGCAACAGCTGCCAACTGGAGATTGGGCAGCAGTCAAGTGATTCGATACTGCCACGCGGGGGTTTTCGAGGTGGCAGTCACGAGGGATGCTGCAGCAATAGTCGTGACAACAAGACAACACGAAGAAATTCTTCATGCCGAGTTCCTGCAAAAACGATATCATTTCGAAGGGACTTCAACAGAATTTACCCTTGACATTTTCGGGATTTTCGACAGTGAAAATTTCGCCACCGACAGCAATTTCGACTGCACAGCGGCTGAATTTCAGGCGGACTGCCATAATACTTGGTATTCTGCGTCAGGGTGGTTGTGGTTTTTGTGCCCGTGCAGCTGTGCACATTTTGTGGGCAGCAGTTATCTTCCCAGGGGGGAGAGAAAGAGTACTCACGCACTGTTCTTGGCAGGTCTCTAACATTTCGGCAGTTATTTCTGACAGTTCGTCTGACACACCCAGCACGACGGACGCACGCGATGGCTTCATCGGCATCGACGGCACCAGATTCATCGATCTCTGACAACGCGTCAGATTTCCTGCCGACATGACGTTCATCAGAGCCATCCGATACACATCGGCGACATCAACGGTCTTCCTTCGTCGAAAGATTTCAAATCGACATTCGCTTTCAAACCGCCCGATCGACATCGGCAGTACCAACGGCTGACATCCCAACTCTTTGAAATTCGCCTGGTCAACGCGTCAATTCGAAAGTCAACATGCTTCCGCACCGTCAGATCGGTTTTCGACCGAGATCTGCAGTTTTCACGCTACTGCAAGACTCGCCTACATATAAGGGCACCTTATTTAGAAGGTGGGAGAGTGTAATGAATACGAATTCATTACTGTAGAGGCTGCTCCTAGCGAGGACGACCCCGAGCACTCCGCGTCAGTTTCGAGGTTCGGCCTACACTTCGGCCCGAACCACCCCCGAGTCGCCCCGCACCAATCGCGACACTTCCAAACCCATCCACGTCCTGAGGTCCTCGCCTACCACGGTTTCGACCCTATAAATGCATGCCTCTTTATCATTCTTGACATGCTGGATTCGACATCTTTTTTATAAAGTCTTCCGCGCACTCTTAGTACATCTCATAACAATGTGTAATTGGACTGTCTGGGGGTGAATTCGCATAGACGGGGTGAATCTGCTGCGCCAGGGGGCGAATTTGCTGCGTCAAAGGGCGAATTTGCTGCGTCAATGGGGCGAATTTGCTGCGTCACGGGGCGAATTTGTTGCGTCAAGGGGCGAATTTGCTGCGTCTGGGGGCAAATTTGTTGCATGAGGGGGGGATTTTGCTGTCAGAGGCGAATGCGTTGTGACTGGTCAAGGATTTCCGTCAACGCTGTGACTGGTCAAGGGTCATTCCAATCGAACAACGATCCGCTCTCTTGTTGCTCGCCAAAAACAGACCAGCAAGTTCAGTATTAACAGTTGTGTTCAAAACACTAAAAACAGATTGTGTCATATGAAAACACCCGGGTAGTATATATATATATATTTCCTTTGTTAAGACCCCCCCTCTTTTTACAAGGGGATTTAAATAACACCCTAGGGTGTTATATCCGGGGGAATACGGTATTTCCCCATTTTCCCAATCACCACCAGCCTAGTCTTCTATTTGAGTTGTAGTCATTTTCTAGGCTTTCCAATCGAATCTATCCGCGATATCCGGCTTTAGGCTAGACCCCTTTCCGATTAGTTTAGGCGAAGCCTGCATTGGCCCAATTCTGGCATTCGTCAGCACGTTCAATGACGTCAGTTGTGAATATCTCCGAGATCGACGGCTGTATACGGTCCTGATAGATCCGACGTTGCAGAAACTGCCAACCTGGGGGCGAAGTGAATCTCGCTAAAAGGGCGTCTCGGTAGCACCAGTGATATTCCATCCTCCGCCTGGTACTCCCCCTATAAATGTTGCTTGATTTCCATTTACAATTCCACACATTCGAAGTGGCCTTTCCTTGCCTTTCGCCGTCGACTGGTCTCATTTTCCTCTCTGACTATCTCCCCCTTTCCTTGGCGCGCCTCTCTAACTCCGCAAACCGAGTGAAGGTTGCGCCATCCCCTAATCCGCGCGCACCGCTCCATCGACGTCCAGATGGAGACCATCAGAGCGTCCGCTCTGCGCGCCCCCGCGCTCTCCCCCGCGCCAGCGCAGGAGATCAGCTCGCGCGCCTTCCGCGCCGCTCAACCCGTCGCCACGCGAGTCACTCGACCTCGCCGCGGCGCCAGAACCGCCGCATTGCGCGGGCTGGGCGTGCGGTCAGAGAGCGGCGCGGCGGAGGACGGAGAGCTCTGCGACGGCGGCGGGCGGCGAGGGGAAGGCGCTGAACCGATGGAGCTCGCGCATCACGCAGCCCAAGTCGCAGGGCGCGTCGCAGGCGATGCTGTACGGCGTGGGGCTCACCGAGGCCGACATGCACAAGGCGCAGGTGCGCAAGGGGGGGATTGGGCGGAAGGAGGGGGGAGGAAGGGGTGTGGGGGAGCTTTGGGAGGATGACATGGGCGAGGCGCGCGGAGGCAAAGGGAAGGAGGAGGAGATGCTAGAGGAGAGCGACGAGGTGGAGGAGACGAGAAAGATAAAGGAACGGAGTGGCTCATGGCCTCGTGCCTAAAACCCCGCTTGTCCCCCACTCGATAGCGTCGGTAAAAATTCTGACCTTTGAAAAGAGGCTGTTGTAGTGGCGATGCTCCACCCAACGCCCAACGCCCTCTGCGCGACTGTAATTTCGGCCTAAAGAATCCGCATTGTGCCCCATCGCCATCACCATCATCACCTCCCCATCCGCTCCCCTTCATCACCTCCACATCCCCTCCCCTATCCCTCCTTCTCTCCCCCAACCCGCTTCCGCCCCGCCCTCCTTCCGCGTGTGGCGGCAGGTGGGGATCTCGTCGGTGTGGTACGAGGGCAACACGTGCAACATGCACCTGCTGGAGCTGGCGGAGGCCGTGAAGGGCGGCGTGACGGACGCGGGGCTGGTGGGGTTCCGGTTCAACACGATCGGCGTGAGCGACGGCATCTCCATGGGCACGGACGGCATGAGCTACAGCCTGCAGTCGCGCGACCTCATCGCGGATAGCATCGAGACGGTGATGGCGGCGCAGTGGTACGACGCCAACATCTCCATCCCCGGCTGCGATAAAAACGTCAGTCGCAAGAGGGGGGGGAGGCATGGCGGGGTGACGGGCACTTGACGGGCATGGGGTTGATTGGAGTGGGGATGGCTGGTGATTGGAGAGAATGCACGTGGAGCGGCGATGGGACGAACACGTGGAGTCGTGGGGCACTGTGCAACGTGACAGTAGTGGGAGAAGATGGGGATTGTGGACCAGGATGTTCCACGCAGTTTAGTGCGGCGCAGTGCGGTGCTCCCATGTGATGTGCCCTCGCGCTCCACCCCATCATGCGCTTGCACCCATGTCCTCATGCCATGCCATGCCATGCCACCCCACCATGCCATGCGTGTCCCCATCAGATGCCCGGCACGGTGATGGCGATGGCGAGGCTCAACCGACCAGCCATCATGATCTATGGCGGCACCATCAAGGTGGGCCGTCTCATGCATGCACGCGCCAGGGCCGAGCCAATGGTCGAGCCAGTTCGTGCTTCGTTTTCATGCTCTTCAATTTGAGTTATGCGCCCCACCCCCCTCACCCTCAGTCATTCTCACCCCCCATCTTCACCTCATCCCCCAAAATCCCCTTTGCTAAACCTACCCCCCCCCCCCCCCTGCTTCTTGAACCCCCCTTTCCCATTGTCCCTCACCACCACACACCACCACTTCCAGCCGGGCCATTTCGAGGGAGCCACCCTTGACATCGTCAATGCCTTCCAGGTACGCCCTCCCTCTCCCTCCCTCGCCCTCCCTCTCCCTCCCTCGCCCTCTCTCTCCCTCCCTCGCCCTCCCTCTCCCTCCCTCGCCCTCCCTCTCCCTCCCTCGCCCTCCCTCTCCCTCCCTCTCCCTCCCTCTCCCTCCCTCTCCCTCCCTCGCCCTCCCTCGCCCTCCCTCTCCCTCGCCCTCCCTCTCCCTCCCTCGCCCTCCCTCTCCCTCCCTCGCCCTCCCTCTCCCTCGCCCTCCCTCTCCCTCGCCCTCCCTCTCCCTCGCCCTCCCTCTCCCTCGCCCTCCCTCTCCCTCGCCCTCCCTCTCCCTCGCCCTCCCTCTCCCTCGCCCTCCCTCTCCCTCGCCCTCCCTCTCCCTCGCCCCCCCTCTCCCTCGCCCTCCCTCTCCCTCGCCCTCCCTCTCCCTCGCCCTCCCTCTCCCTCGGCCTCCCTCTCCCTCGCCTCGCCCTCCCTCTCCCTCGCCCTCCCTCTCCCTCGCCCTCCCTCTCCCTCGCCCTCCCTCTCCCTCGCCCTCCCTCTCCCTCGCCCTCCCTCTCCCTCGCCTCGCCCTCCCTCTCCCTCGCCCTCCCTCTCCCTCGCCCTCCCTCTCCCTCGCCCTCCCTCTCCCTCGCCCTCCCTCTCCCTCGCCCTCCCTCTCCCTCGCCCTCCCTCTCCCTCGCCCTCCCTCTCCCTCGCCCTCCCTCTCCCTCGCCCTCCCTCTCCCTCTCCCTGCCTCTCCCTCGGCCTGCCTCTCCACTCTTTTCCCCTGCTGTCGTGTTGAGTTATCCCCCCCCTCTTTGCTCGTCTCACCCCTCTCCCGTCCTCTTCTCCCTCTCTATGCATCCCCAACACCTCCCCACCCTTCACAGAGCTACGGCGAGTTTGTGGCGGGGAGGATAACAGAGGAGGAGAGGCAGCAGGTGGTGCGCCACTCGTGTCCGGGGCAGGGCGCGTGTGGCGGCATGTACACCGCCAACACCATGGCATCCGCCATCGAGGCGCTGGGGCTCACTCTGCCCTACAGGTGTGCCTCGCCTTCCCCTCCCTTCCCTCCCTTCTTTTCTTCCTACTCTTCCTTCCCTTCCTCCCCTTGCTGCCTCCCAACTCCGCCTTTCTTTTTCAAAGTTCCCCCACACACCCATCGCTCCCCCATTCTTCCGCTCCCCTAATTCTCCCCTCAGCCCACACCGCCCTCCTCCCCCTCAGCTCGTCAACCGTCAAGCTGACTCAAACCCCTCCTCATGCACCCCTCCTCTCATGCACCCCATCCCCCCTCCACACCCCCTTTTTCCCCCTCACAGCTCGTCCATCCCAGCGGAGGACCCATTGAAGCTGGACGAGTGTCGCCTGGCGGGGGCGGCGATCAAGCGGCTGTTGGAGCTGGACGTGAAGCCAAGGGACATCATCACGCGGGAGGCGCTGGAGAACGCCATCACCACTGTCATCGCCCTGGGCGGCTCCACCAACGCCGTGCTGCACCTCATCGCCATCGCCCGGTGAGAAGAAATAGGGTACGGGGACAGAGGGTGAAGGCTTTGCAAGGCTTGGGGACGGCTGCACCTGCTGGAGCTGGTTTACATCATTGCCACCACGCCGTCAACTCTCGTTCCGCCCTCACCAACCCTGCACCCCTCACACACCTCTCTCCTCTCTGCCCCTCACACCCTCTTCTCTTTGCGCCTCAGCCTCCTACCCTCGATCCCCCGCTGCCAAATCCTCCGTAATCTCTCGGATGCCTCAACAATTGCACCTCCTGTTCTCCTCTTTGCCCATCTCCTGGCCTTCCCCCCCCTCTCATGCAGGGCGGTGGGGCTGAGCCTGACGTTGGACGACTTCCAGGCCATCAGCGACCGCGTGCCGTTCATTGCTGACCTCAAGCCCAGCGGCAAATACGTCATGGAGGACGTGCACAAGGTGGGCGCACAGCGGTGCAGAGGGATGCAGAGGGGTGCAAAGAGTATAGAGCTCTTGTGGCTTGATTTTTTTATCCCACCCATGGCGCACCCATGCATCGTCATGCATCCACCAGAGCCCACCTCTGCCCATGCTGGACTCATGCCCGCCTGCCCCCCTGCCTGCTCGTGCTGCTGTGCCTGCCCTGCCCCCCACTGTGTGGTCAGATCGGCGGCACGCCAGCAGTGCTCAAGTACCTGCTGGAGAAGGGGCTGCTGCACGGGGACTGCCTCACCGGTCAGTGCTTGCTGCTGCATGGTGCATGGGGTGTGGTAGTGCATGGGGTGAGGTGCGTGGAGCGTGGTGGATGGGGCATGGTGCATGGGGCATGGTGCATTGTGCATTTCGCATGGTGATGGTATGACTTGTGAGTTGACGGGGACACTGGGTTTTAACCTCTAACCTATCCTCTCGCACCACTCCTCTCTCCCTCTCTCTCTTGCGCACACCACCCGTGGCCCACATGTCTCCTCGCTGCAGTGACGGGCAAGACCCTGGCGGAGAACCTGGCCTCCGTGCCGCCACTCTCCCCCGGTCAGGTACCTATTGCGCATCTCCCCTGCTCTCCCTCCCGCTCCCTCCCCATCCCTCCTTGCCCCCTTCCCCATTGCTCCCTTTCCAAGTTTCTTGTTTCTGATTCCCCTGCCCTCTTTCTTCGTCGCCCTCATTTGGTGCCGCATCGGCTGGTGATCAAAGAGAATGCGCCCTTCCTCTTCCCCTGTGTGCCACGTGGCAGGACGTCATTCGCCCATTGGAGGAGCCCATCAAGCAGACCGGCCACTTGCAGGTGAGCCAGCTGTCATGGCTGACTGCATTGAGTGCTGGCGGCATTGACAGCTGGCACTCTCGCCCCTTTCAATCATTACCATGCTATCCCATGCCATGCCCCTTCACCCCATCTCAGCTCGTCACCTGGTCTGCTCGCGCACTTATCCTATCTCCCTCGCCTCCTCCCTGTCCCCCGTCCCCTCCTCCCCTCCTTCCCCCCCGCGCAGATTCTGTACGGCAATCTGGCACCGGAGGGGTCGGTGGCAAAGATCACGGGCAAGGAGGGACTTTACTTCAAAGGTGGGGTGATGGGGGAGAAGGGGGGTGAAGGTCAAGGAGCTTTACCTTCCCTGTCTCGCTGCCACTTGCACGGCACACTGGCTGCCATCCACACTACTCTGTCGCGCTGCGCGCAAGAAGCATGTCGCCATCCCAACCCCCCCCCCCTTCCGCCGCCCCCCTTTCCTCGTCCCCACCACCAGGCCCGGCGTTGGTGTTTGAGGGCGAGGAGGCCATGCTGGAGGCGCTCTCCGCCGACCCCAACAGCTTCAAGGTGCCGCCCCACCGCCCCGCACTGCACCACATCCCTCCGCACCATTCCACTTATTAGGCCAACCCATCCCAGCTCAACCAAACGCACTTGCCCCAGGGCAATCCAACTGGCGTTCTCTGCTTCTTGCTACCTCCGCCCTCCCCCCACCCTAATGCCTCACCATTCATACACCCTGCTTTGCCCACATGAGGTCCTCCCACCAACCTTCCCCACCCTCTACTCCCCACCTTTTCTTTCCTCCTCCCTCTCTCCTCCCCTTCCTTCCCTCTCTCCCTCACACTCCTCCCCTCCCCTCTCTCCCTTTCTCTCAACACCAGGGAGCGGTGGTGGTGATACGGGGAGAGGGCCCCAAGGGCGGGCCGGGCATGCCGGAGATGCTCACGCCCACCTCCGCCATCATGGGCGCTGGGCTCGGCAAGGTAACAAGGGGGGATGGGGGGGTGGGAAGGGTGAGCAGGGCGTGTGAGTCTGCATGCGTGGGTACTTGTAGGAACGCCTCGAAGCACATTGTCTACATTCCCTTTGTGCCCACCCATTGCCCTCACACCCATTCCTGCTCAGCCCTCTTCACTCTCTGACCTGCTCTGCCCTCATGGCTCTCTGACCTGCTCTGCCTGTCCGTCTCTCCTCACACTGCTCTCCACCGCTTATCTCCCCCACACACACCAGGAGGTGGCGCTGCTGACGGACGGGCGCTTCTCCGGTGGCTCTCACGGCTTCGTGGTCGGCCACGTCTGTCCCGAGGCACAGGTACACATGGCACCTCCCCATTTGCTCTGAGGCACAGGTACACATGGCACCTCCCCATTTGCTCTGAGGCACAGGTACACATGGCACCTCCCCATTTGCTCTGAGGCACAGGTACACATGGCACCTCCCCATTTGCTCTGAGGCACAGGTACACATGGCACCTCCCCATTTGCTCTGAGGCACAGGTACACATGGCACCTCCCCATTTGCTCTGAGGCACAGGTACACATGGCACCTCCCCATTTGCTCTGAGGCACAGGTACACATGGCACCTCCCCATTTGCTCTGAGGCACAGGTACACGTGCTGCCTCCCCAGCGTGCACCTGACTGTGTCCTGCCACATCACTTGCATACCACCCTTCCTCGTCTCTCGTCACCTTCTCCCCCATACCTCCCACCCTGCACTCCTGCCGACGCCCTCATTCCCCACACTCAATCTGTCCCTCCCCTCTCCCATGCAACAGGTGGGCGGCCCCATCGGGCTGGTGCAGAACAGGGACGTGATCACCATCGACATGGAGAATAGGGCCATGGACATGGCGGTCAGTGAGGTTGGTCATTGGGGACTCTCAATATCCAACCGCTATCCCTCCCCTTTCCTCTGCGCGCAGGTGGGCGGCCCCATCGGGCTGGTGCAGAACGGGGACGTGATCACCATCGACGTGGAGAAGAGGACCATGGACATGGATGTCAGCGACGAGGAGCTGCAGCGCCGCCGTGCCAACTGGGTGGCGCCGCCTCTCAAGGCCACCCGCGGCACGCTGTACAAGGTGTGTGCGCCTGTGCAAAAGTCTCTATTAGTCAGTGCTTCGTGCGCAAATCAGTGCATGAGTCCTGCCGCATCATGTGCCATCTGCACTCATCCTCACATTCTTGTGCATCGCCCCTTTTGTGTGCGGTGCCAGCTCATATCCTTCCTTTACTCACGCACCGTGCTTTGTGCCTTGTGCTGCCACCCCGCCCCCCCTGGCCACGGCAGTACATCAAGACGGTCAAGTCAGCATCTGAAGGCTGTGTCACGGATGAGTAGATGCATGCATGCATCATGCGCATGCATGTGCACAAGCACCACTGTGGGCAACTTGACATAGTTTTGTTATGGAGTATGATGATGAGAAGCCGCTTGTTTTGTCCATCCGCATAGTGTAGTTCCGTGAAAAAAAGTGCACCGTGTCATATCTGCAGTTGATAGTTGAAAGTTGGTATGTTATCTTCTGTACAAGCTCACCTATTCAGCTCTAGGCCAGAGTTGGTCTTACAGAATCCATCTTACGACAAAAAATTGGAAGGCAATTCCTCCAAGTTAAAGTAAAATCTCATGGTATGCTTGCACTAAGTCCTCTTCTCAAAGACAATGCATGGTTGAGAGTGCATTGATGCTAAATGGCAGCACTATAGGTGGTTGTGAGCACTGTTGGGATGGGGGCACTACAAGGAAGCCATCTCAGCGCTACCACCACCAAGCACCCCGAGCACAAGGAGGTTGCGTTCTTGTTGGACCTTCCAGCATGGCACTTGGTCGTGGCAGGGTGATAGTTTACCTACATAAGTGCATGCAATTGTCATCCTATGTGGCACTCGTGTGGTGGACAACCAAAAACTCATATTAGAGCAACCAGACCACGTTATTTCTACATATTACCGTAGGAACGAAACCAACCACAGGTTACTTTGTAATAGGCAGATGTAATTTTCCTGTAAGCCACCTTCCTCGTTCTCGATTCCACGGCAGAGCAGGCAGTGCATCTCTTGAGTGGCCATGGCACATCACAGGAGGTCCATCAGAGCACCTCCAGATTGCGGGGGAGCAGCAGGGCGCTGAGGAGGCGTGAAGCCAGAGCCCATGGCAGCAGATGCAGGGGGGGCAGGGAAGCCCTGCGATGGCGGAGGGGCAAACCGCATTGCACCGTACACAGCGCCGCCAGCAGGAGGAGCAGCAGCCATGCCACCCATGGGAGCCATGGGAGCAGCAGGGAAAGCCCCAAACCCTGGAGCCATGCCAACGCCACCCATTGGCCGAGCCATTCCCATACCCATGCCTGCTCCCATGGCCCCACCCCCCATGCCTCCTCCCATGCCCATGCCCATGCCCATTCCCATGCCTGTGCCTCCCATCCCTGTGCCGGCAGCAGTGGCAGGCGGGGCGGCAGACTGGAAGGAGCTGCCGCCCCAGTCGTCCATGTCAAGTGGCCCACTGGCCTTGGACACTCCGCCCAGGGGACGCGGGGCGGCACTCATTGCAGCTGTTGGTGCCGCTGGCGCTGCTGCTGCCTGCGGTTTTCTTGGAGGCCAGTCTGCAAAGGGGTCGTTGGGGTCACTTGCACCCCCTCCTGCTCCTGATGCTGCGCTCCCTCCCAACCCCCCACCCATGCCTCCTCCCAGTCCCCCACCAAACCCTGTGCCTCCTCCCAACCCCCCTCCTAGCGATCCTCCCATAGGCGCCCCCCCTAACCCCCCTCCCAAGCCGCTACCAAGACCCCCCATACCCCCACCGCCTATGCTGCTGCTGCCACCAATTCCGCCTCCTCCTATTCCCCCCAACCCACCCCCGCCAATGCCCCCCATGCGGGCTGTGGGATTGGCAGAGAGGGAAGCAAGGCTGGGGGATGGTGCAGCGGAGAGAGTGGAGGACGCGAAGGGGTCTGACGTGCCAAAGGCAGACGAGGCGGAGGAAGCGGGGGTGGACGAGATGGGGGGCGTGGAGGCGAAGGGGTCTGAAAAGGAGGGGGCGGCAGAGGGGCCAGCGGAGGAGGAGGCGGGTGCCTTGGCCCAGTCTGGTTGTGCGTCCCATGCCGGCGGCTTGGCGCTGGTGGAGGGGGTGAGGGGGCAACGGGGTGGCGGGGGAGGGAGTGGGGGGAGGATCAGATGAGGGAGTGGAGAACGGGGGGGAGATGGGATGGGTTAGAGAGAAAGGGGGCTAAACGAGGAAAGTGGCTGCAAGGAGATGAGAGGCCAGCGTTGGGGGACGTTTACAGGGAGGCAGGGGGCTGACCTGTCGTCAAAGGCAAGAGTGGCATCAGAGGGAGTGGAGATGCCCATGGATGCGAGGTCCAGCGATATGGAGTCCGCCTCACTCAACGACACGCCCCTCTTGTCCTGTATCTTGCTGCCACACACCGGCAGCAGGGGCAGGGGCACGGGATATGGGGCATGGCACAGATGTCATATTGCGCACGGGATATGGGGCATGGCACAGATGTCATGTTGCGCACGGGATATGGGGCATGGCACAGATGTCATGTTGCGCACGGGATATGGAGCATGGCACAGATGTCATGTTGCGCACGGGATATGGGGCATGGCACAGATGTCATGTTGCGCACGGGATATGGAGCATGGCACAGATGTCATGTTGCGCACGGGATATGGGGCATGGCACAGATGTCATGTTGCGCACGGGATATGGGGCATGGCACAGATGTCATGTTGCGCACGGGATATGGGGCATGGCACAGATGTCATGTTGCGCACGGGATATGGAGCATGGCACAGATGTCATGTTGCGCACGGGATATGGGGCATGGCACAGATGTCATGTTGCGCACGGGATATGGGGCATGGCACAGATGTCATGTTGCGCACGGGATATGGGGCATGGCACAGATGTCATGTTGCGCACGGGATATGGAGCATGGCACAGATGTCATGTTGCGCACGGGATATGGGGCATGGCACAGATGTCATGTTGCGCACGGGATATGGGGCATGGCACAGATGTCATGTTGCGCACGGGATATGGGGCATGGCACAGATGTCATGTTGCGCACGGGATATGGAGCATGGCACAGATGTCATGTTGCGCACGGGATATGGGGCATGGCACAGATGTCATGTTGCGCACGGGATATGGGGCATGGCACAGATGTCATGTTGCGCACGGGATATGGAGCATGGCACAGATGTCATGATGTGCACGGGATATGGGGCATGGCACAGATGTCATGTTGCCACGGGATATGGAGCATGGCACAGATGTCATGTTGCGCACGGGATATGGGGCATGGCACAGATGTCATGTTGCGCACGGGATATGGGGCATGGCACAGATGTCATGTTGTGCACGGGATATGGAGCATGGCACAGATGTCATGTTGCGCACGGGATATGGGGCATGGCACAGATGCCATGTTGCGCACGGGATATGGGGCATGGCACAGATGTCATGTTGCGCACGGGATATGGGGCATGGCACAGATGTCATGTTGCGCACGGGATATGGGGCATGGCACAGATGTCATGTTGCGCACGGGATATGGGGCATGGCACAGATGTCATGTTGCGCACGGGATATGGGGCATGGCACAGATGTCATGTTGCGCACGGGATATGGGGCATGGCACAGATGCCATGTTGCGCACGGGATATGGGGCATGGCACAGATGTCATGTTGCGCACGGGATATGGGGCATGGCACAGATGTCATGTTGCGCACGGGATATGGGGCATGGCACAGATGCCATGTTGCGCACGGGATATGGGGCATGGCACAGATGTCATGTTGCGCACGGGATATGGGGCATGGCACAGATGTCATGTTGCGCACGGGATATGGGGCATGGCACAGATGTCATGTTGCGCACGGGATATGGGGCATGGCACAGATGTCATGTTGCGCACGGGATATGGGGCATGGCACAGATGTCATGTTGCGCACGGGATATGGGGCATGGCACAGATGCCATGTTGCGCACGGGATATGGGGCATGGCACAGATGTCATGTTGCGCACGGGATATGGGGCATGGCACAGATGTCATGTTGCGCACGGGATATGGGGCATGGCACAGATGCCATGTTGCGCACGGGATATGGGGCATGGCACAGATGTCATGTTGCGCACAGGATACTTGATCGAAATAATTACGGAAGTCGATAGGCGACAGGTCACTGAGTGAACGGGAACCTAGTAAGTCGTAAGAAAGTAAACCAAGTAGCAGGGAAGTGCATGTGCAGCATGATGTGAATGCAAAGAGAGTGTGAGAAAGAGCGGGGAGGGTGGGAGTGAGTGTGTCTGTGCGAGAGAGAGAGAGAGAGAGAGAGAGAGAGAGAGAGAGAGAGAGAGAGAGAGAGAGAGAGAGAGAGAGAGAGAGAGCGGGAGACGGGTGGGGGGCGGCGCACGTGAGGACGTCCATGATGAGTTTGAGGAAGCGGGCGAACTGCGGGCCTGTGAGCTGCTGCACCACGAGCATGGGACACAGCAGCGGCAGTATGTGCTCTGCTGCAAACTCTATTCCGTACTGCCATGCCATGCCATTCCATGCCACACACCCATGCCATGCCACACACCATGTCGCACCACACCATAACACACCACAGCACATCATGCGAGATGAGGAATAGGGAATGCTGTTAGAAGTGCGTCACATAGTGGGTTGCAAGGGAAAATCGTGACATATGGAACAACAGAGACAGTGGAGCAAGCACACAAAACAGGCATAGGACAGTCAGCCACAACAAGGACCTGCCTCAGCACGCATCTGCATCAGCACCCACCTGGCTGAGAACGCACCTGGCTGAGAACGCACCTGGCTGAGAACGCACCTGCCTCAGCGCGCACCTGCCTCTGGATGATGTCAGCAATGCCGACGATGCACATGAGCGTGGGCGGGGAGCGGTCGACAGCAGCGCAGCGCACGCACGTCTGCAGAATGTCCATCACGGCCGCCTTGTCCAGGTTGGGTATCAGGTCGCCCAGACATATGAGCGCCTGCACCCTCACCTGGTGGCGTGGCGCGGTCACAGAGGCGAGAGGGGGAGAGACGAGGAGAAGGGGGAGTGCACAGTTAGATGGATAGGAGGGAAGGAAAACAAATTGTGAGAGATGAAGGGACGAGCGGCAGAGAGATGGTGGGGGCAGAGAGATGGACGGAAGAGAAGGCAGGGTTAGTGGCGACGTACAGCGGCGACGGAGGTGCGGAGGGCGAGCATGTGCACGCGCGGCATGATGACGGTGCGCACGATCTCAAAGTCCAGCGACGACACCAGCACTGCTGAGCGCCGCAGCGTCTCCTCCTGCAGCCGCGGGTCGGCG